CCAAAGGTTAGAGTTTGGTACTTCCCTTGAACTGGAGTCCCGAGTGAGACTTTCCTCGCAGTTCAGAGCGTGGTCAGGTGCCAGAGGGAGGGATCCCAATCCAGCCTTAGGAAAAGAAACCTTCCACGGGAGTCTTGGAGATTGGCGACCGTCCTAATGACTTAAGTGGCCGACCCGCGCCCACGTAAAATTTGTCTATTAGAGATAGAGTCAGGAAGGAATGGATTAATTCATTCTCCATCACCCTGAGGCTTAAGGTACTGATTCTCTTCAAGCTGAATGCCACAATTTGCCCCATAGAGTAGCCATGGGCAGCAAACGTGGATTCATACAGCCATCCAAGAAAGTTCCCGATGGAGCAGTGAATCTAGATCCATCCTTGAAAAAGAGCAGGAAGGAATGGATTAATTCATTCTCCATCACCCTGAGGCTTAAGGTACTGAATCTCTTCAAGCTGAATGCCACAATTTGCCCCATAGAGTAGCCATGGGCAGCAAACGTGGATTCATACAGCTGTCCGAGAAAGTTCCCGATGGAGCAGTGAATGTAGATCCATCCTTGAAAAAGAGCAAGGCACAAGGAAGAAAAGGGCACTTACCAGAACTCGAGCTCACAAGCCGATGAAGCAAGTCCCCGTACGGAAGTTCCCTGTACGGAAGATCCCCTGAAGCAAGGTCCCCGTACGGGCCACCAGAAATGATGCGGGATCGGTGAGCCGAGGAGTCGAAAGAAAGATTTCTTAGACTCTCAAGATCTGGCAGTAGTGCTCTTTTATTTAGAGAATAGTGTGGAATAGCATGGGGACAGGACCCATGGGCAGGCAGAGCTGGTGCGTGGGGACAGGACCCACGGGCAGTCAGAGCTCCTGCTGCTGCCCCGAGTTGAGGGTTAGGGCTAATTTTATAAGGCATGGGTACGTGACTTATTTTTACTGGAAAAAAAAGAAAAGATGATGTAAAAAGTCATTAAATGATTTCAGTGCAGATGGGGTCTGGTTATTGTGCGGTCATATAACTTTAGATACGAATCTGGCCATATAGATCGGCATGCAGGTGAGGATGCCCCGGGCTTCTCTCCCTGGGGCAGTCCTAATTCATACCATAAAAAAAGTCCACTGGGTCGTATAGTTTGGCATGTAGGCCAGGTCACCTTGGGCTTCTCTAGCTGGGGCAGCCTTAATCCACATCATGGACCACCTCTCGTCAAATGATTCTCTCGTCTCCAGAGGATCCGTGTACCTTGTCAGCCTTGGACTCTGAGGGCGCAAACTTCCGTTCCTCTGAACTTCCTACCTGTACCTATGGCCCAATTTAGGGACAGCTCTACGACCTTGCACAGCAGGATGTAGTTACGGAAGACTGACCATTCTCCATATCCCCAAAGGATTTCGGGGCCAAATGGGTTCGGGGGGGGGTTTACGATGAGGATGATTTTAGGCTGGTTACTTTTTTTTTTAAAGATTTTATTTGTTATTTTTTTCCTCTTTTTCTCCCCAAAGCCCCCCAGTACATAGTTGTATATTCTTCGTTGTGGGTCTTTCCAATTGTGGTATGTGGGACACCGCCTCAGCGTGGCTTGATGAGTAATGCCATGTCTGCGCCCAGGATCCGAACCAACGAAACCCTGGGCGGCCTGCAGCGGAGCTCGCGAACTTAACCACTTGGCCAGGAGGCCAGCCCCAGGCTGGTTACTTTTAAAAAAACTGCAGAGGGGAAGGAAGCTCCAAGAAGTGGAATTTGCTTGCCCTTTGATGAAGATATTTGCATTTGTGAAGGAAGTCTCCATTTTGGGGGGTGTCTCCCTCTCTGCACCAGGAGGAAGGGGGATGACCTTATCTCTAGAAACTCTTAATGGGGACGGCAAGGACTTAAGTGTTGTTTATTGTGCTTGTCTGGTAACCTCATGTAGCTGACTGCCCCCCACCAGCAACATCCTCCAGGAAGCGCAGGACATCCTGACTTAATCCGGTCTGATTCTTATCTAAAGTTATAGGACCACCCAATAATCAGACCCCACCTGCACTGAGACCATTTTCACGACTTTTTTTTACATATTCTTTCCTTTGTGTTGTAAAGAGATAACTCACATACCTATGCCTTAAGTTTAGCTCTAACCCTCAACACACTGCAGCAGCTCTTTGCTGCCCATGGGTTCTGTCCCCATGCTATTCCATACTATTCTCGGAATAAAAGAGTACTACTGCCAGACCTTGAGAGTCCAAGAAATCTTTCTTTGGATTCCTCTGCTCGCGAGCCCGCATCAGTCTGTACTTGAGCCGTTTGAAACTCAGTCAGTACTTCCCCCTGCACATCTGGACCCCTGAGTTCACAAAGAGGTGGGTGGAAACAATAGAGGCAGCCCCAGGCCAGGAAAAAGTTCCGTTGAAATGCAAATCTGCCGGGTGAGTCTGGTTCCAGCCGCCAGCCTAGGTGGGTTCCCTGAGCCCTGCAGCCTCCCACCTGCTGTCACTCTGGCACGAGGGGGCGGGGCGTTCACGACTGTCCAATCAGAGGAGCCGCTGGCGCAGGTGGGTGAGGCCATGGACTGGACTTCTTGTGAAGGCGGCTTCCGGCTGCTGCCGCGCTGCAGGGGAGGTGTTGTCTCACCTACGGGTCCTGGTGGCTCTGCCGCAGCCTCTGTAGCGCTGTGACCTGCACTGGCCGTGGGGGTCGTAGGAAGGACTCGGGGGACCCAGGAGCCCTAGAAATGGTGAGTGTGCGGCCCCGGGGTGAGGACGCGGGAGGAGGGACTGGTTGAAGCGGCGGGGCGGGCCCGGCCTCCCCTGGTCCCCTCCGGGGTCTGCAGCCCCGAGTCCGCGGTGGCGCCGCTCGGCCCTCAGGCCCCTCCGGCCGCAGCGTGGGGGCGGGGCCGGCAGCCGGGCCCCGGGCGTCCTGTGGTCCCTGCGCGCGGCGACTTGGGCGGGAGCGTCTCTGGGCCGCTGTGCGCCCGCAGCCCCGCGTGTCCCAGACGGTGCGGGGCCCGCGGGAGGGCCCGCAGGACAGTCGGGCCTCGGTCTGCGGGGTCCGTGCGCGGAGGGGCTGCGGTCTGTGGGTCCCCAGGGCCTCCTTTCTCCCCAGGGGGCACCCGTTTTCTCCTGAGTTTTCCAGTTGTTTGGGGCGCAGCGTCTCAATCCACAGTCCTTTCCCCACAGGCTGGCACTTCTTGGGACTGACAGTAAATCCGTAAATTTCCAGATGCCTCCCCGCACTCCCAAAGCGACTTCCCCTCTTTCATTCACAGGATCCTCATCAACATTTCGTCATCCAGGGCGCATTTCAACCAGACCTAATATTTTAACGGTTTATCATTATCCACCAGAGCCATGGATGGCTCTATCTTTTTTTTGGTTAAGATTTTATTTTTCCTTTTTCTCCCCAAAGCTCCCCCCCCCGTAGTTGTATATTTTAGTTGTGGGTCCTTCTAGTTGTGGCATGTGGGACGCCGCCTCAGCATGATCTGATGAGTGGTGTCATGTCCGCCCCCAGGATCCGAACCCACAAAACCCTGGGCCACCGAAGCAGAGCGAGTGAACTTAACCACTCGGCCGCAGGCCCAATAGGATGGCTCTATTTTAAACGTTATATTTGTCTGTGTGATTCAGACTCTGGGAGCAGAGAAGTCAAAAGAAAGATTTTTTTGGACTCTCAAGGTCTTGCAGTAGTGCTCCTTCATTGAGAGAATAGTGGGGGGACGGGACCCATGGGCAGTAAAGAGCTGCTGCCTGAGGACAAGACCGGACCCCTCGGCAGGAAGAGCTGCAGTGGATTGAGGGCAGGGCTAAACTTATAAGGCATAGCTATGTGAGTTATTCCTCTACAAGACAAAGGAAAGATCCTGTAAAAAAAGTTGTGGGGCCGGCCCGTGGCACAGGGGTTAAGTTCACACGTTATGCTTTGGTGGCCTGGGGTTCACCGGTTGGATCCGGTGCTGACATGGCACCGCTTGGCAAGCCATGCTGTGGTAGGCGTCCCACATATAAAGTGGAGGAAGATGGGCACGGGTGTTGGCTCAGGGCCAGTCTTCCTCAGCAAAAAGAGGAGGATTGGTAGCAAAAAAAAAAAAAAAAAAAAAAAAAAGTCATTGAAATGGTGGGTGCAGGTGGGTTTGGTTGTTGGGTGGTCCTGTACCTTTAGATAAGAATCAGCTGGGATCAGGTCAGGATGCCCTGTGCTTCCCGGAGGATGATACAGATTGCTATGCAGGGCAGGACGCCTTGGGCTTCTTTCCCTGGGGCAGCCTCCATCCTCATCATGTGGATGTTGTACATGAGAGGAAAGCAGAGAATAACCACCTGGAACCTCACTACAGGAAATCCTTGTGCCTCTCCCCAAGGATCCTCTGGGCCCAGACATCCTATGCTGTGGGTGGAGGTTCCTGTTGAAAAAATGTCCTGGGTGATCTGTCCCATTGGCATCCCCGCACCCCCCATTTGTGAATGAGAAAAAATTATTCACTTATTTAAGTCTTGGTTTTTCAATAAGGGTAAATACATTTACTGAACAGACCTTGGAAGACACTATAAAATAGTTCCAAACAGAAAACAAAGAAGTGAATTTCAGGAAAAATATAATATTCGTTTGTTACATTCCATTTGTTAAGAATACTTGTTTCACTCTGTCTTCACCTGAGCATGTGTAGTAAGTTTCTGAGATCTGTTCTTTACTTTTGGATGTTTTCAAATGAAATTCCAGGGCTTAGACATGCTGACCACAAGCGTTCAAGTGTCATGTCTTGTCACGGAAATAATGTCACCAGAGGACCAGGAACAGAGTTGTCATCCCAAAGCGTGCGTCTTTGGCATAAGGGCTATTTTGAGCTGATTTTTATTAAAAAATAGCAGACAGAGGCAAAGCTCTGAAAAGCTAGAAGTTACCCTTTTGTAAGGGAAGTTTACATTTAAGAGAAACGTCCCTTTGTAAGGGTGCCTCCCTCTGTGTGCCAGGAAGGGCAGGATGACTCTAGATCTCTAGAAACTCTTTATCAGTGGAGAAGGCAAGGAGTTAAATCTGCAGGACAGCTTGCCCCTTGTTCACTGTGCTTTTCCTGCTAACCTCCCGTCACTAACCCCATCTTAACAGCAGGACTTTGGAGCTCTTTGTCACAGGAGGTGGCCAGCCAGGAGCCTGTGCGGAAGAGAAGGTTTTGATCTGCCAGTCAGACCTCACCCTGCCAGGTCTTTGCATCCCAGCCGGCCCTCCCTGCTCCCTTAAGCCTCAGCCCACGCTCTGGATGAGGACCCAGAGTTGAGAGCCTGTCCTCCTGTCTCCTTGCCAATCGATGGCACCTTCAACTGTTTCTTCTCTCAAAGACTGGTGTGCTGTGGTCTCAGCTTCTGTGCGCATCAGGTGGCGAGCCCTCACTCAGTAACAGTAGTAATTGACATTTTTTCTTAAAGGAATAGACATTCGTGCTTTTCTAGTTGAAGTCGTAGAAATACCTTACACTTTTCTTCCCTACTTTCCATGGAAGGACTGCGTTTAGGTGATTTTGCTGGATTATTGAAACACTGGGTTTGTGTCATTTAAAATAATGATGTTCCAAAGCCTCTCCAGTGGGGAGCAGAGGCCCCCAGTCCAAGACCCAAGCTAAGGCCCCCTTGGGCCTGCAGAGGGAAGACCTTGCAGGCCCAGTTGTCCTTCCTGGGGAGCCTCCCCTGCAGGTGTCCTCCTGCTCACACCCCCATGGAAGGAGCCTTTATCCTGAGAGGAGCTGCAGAGCCCTGGAAAGCTGGGGGCGCACGTGCTCATGGGGTGGGGAGTGACGCCCTGTCTGAGGTTGTAACTGTGGTTCCTTAGACCGGGACATTGTAGATGTTGTTTGAGTTTTGCACCCACACTGTAGGTGCACTGAGAGTGTAATCTGTGCACCGTGAGAAAGTCTGAAGATCAGGTGTTCCATCCTGTGAACAAAGAGTTCATGAATTTGGAGGTCATGTGGGTCAGAAGCTTAAACTGAATCCGGCTGAGAGTTTCCTCACTTGTGAGAGTGGGAGCCTGGGGGAGGCAGTGCTTCCATGCTCACAGGAGAGGGAGGGTGCGTGGGGCTCCCAGAGTGCATTCCTGTGGCTGCTCAGGGGTCCCCACCCTCCTTCACCAGGGACTCACCCTCTCCAGCGGTTCTGTCTCCACTGGGAGAGTCTATACCTCAAGTCTGGGAATATGGTCCCTTTCTGAGTGTGGGTTTCCTTGTGAACTGCAGGCCAGCAGGCTGCTTCTATGAGCTGACTGGAATAATCCTGTTTCTGTCCTCGGATTCCTTGATCAGTTGAAGATTGCCATCCTCTGATTCTAATCTCTGTTTGCACTTGAGGTTTGAAAATGTAATGTCAGAGATATGATGTGAGCAAGGCAAGAAAATTGTGGAAACAAACAATTTTTTTCCATTTAGACAAGAGAACCTCAAGATGTGAGATGGGTGTATTTCAGTTCTCAGGTGCATTTTCCATGTTTAGGTCAGTTTTGTGTGTCCATGTCCCTAGAGAACTTTGACATTTAAAAGCCTATACTATTCCTAAGGCAAATGAATTTCATTTATTTTCTTATTGTTTGTGTGTGTGAGTGTGAGGAAGATTGTCGCTGAGCTACCGTCTGTGCCCATCTTCCTCCATTTTATGTGGGATGCTGCCACAGCCTGGCTTGATGAGGGGTGCTGGGTCCACACCTGAGATCCAAACATGCGAACCCCAGAGCACCGAAGCAGAGCAAATTGAACTTAACCGCTATGCCACCAGGCCAGCCCTGAATTTTATTTTAATGGATGTGGGAAAAGGCACTTGAATTTCTCTTTTCATTGATGTGAGGAATCAGGTCAGAGCTTGTGTAAATCTTTGGAATTCCTAGTTTATTTCAGGGCTTAATTTGCAAACCCGTAAGGTATTATAATATGCTACTCCTTCCTAAAAATATTCCCAGGGTAAATATAGTGGAGGCGGAAACAAAAATGCCCCTTGTCTTTTTTTGTTAGAAAGAGATTGGTAAATTTTTTATGGTTTATGGTTTTATATCCATTAATGTTTAAAGGATTCAATCTTGAAATGGTTTCCTATGTAGAAATGTTAAAAATAAAAGTTATTTAAAATTAATGATCAAACATAGGAAAATATGGCATATATAAATGTCTCTCCTTATTTTATTTTATTTTGTTTTTGAGGACGATGGGCCCTGAGCTAACATCCGTGCCCATCTTCCTGTATTTTATATGTGGGTTGCCTGCCACAGCATGGCTTGACAAGCGGTGCATAGGTCCATGACCAGGATCCAAATTGGCGAACCCCAGGCCGCCAAAACGGAGCATGTGGACTCAACTGCTATGCCACTGGGTGTGCCCCGGTCTCCCCTTATTTCAAGTGAATAATACATGGGAATGTTTTTTCCTTTTTTTGAGGAAGATTAGCCCTGAGGTAACTGCTGCCAATGCTCCTCTTTTCGCTGAGGAAGGCTGGCCCTGAGCTAACATCCATGCCCATCTCCCTCCACTTTATATGTGGGAAGCCTACTACAGCATGCCTTTCCAAGCGGTGCCATGTCCGCACCCGGGATACGAAGTGGCCAACCCTGGGCCACCGAAGCGGAACGTGGGCACTTAAGCGCTGGGCCACCGGGCTGGCCCCTGCATGGGAATGTTTAAAAAAGTTGTAAGAGAGGACAGTAACTTAAGAGAACTTCCTGCCCACATGTCCTGCCCCACTCCTGCTCTTACTCCAGCCACTC